TTCCAAGCTAATGTTGGGTATTTCAGCAAGATAATAGTTCTTAATACCTCCAACTTTGTTATCAGGTACTTAGAGGAAAGAAAAAAAGGTTTTTGAATGTATAATAAATTGTTCTAAAAATTGGCCTGGAGCTCATTCTACTGTACTGTACATATACAGTATTTTAGGACAGTGAGATCCCGAGGCACCTTGTTGTGAAAGTAATCATCTCAGAAGAACATTTCTGCATTGAGTATTGGGGAAGAGACTGGCATCTATCTCCAAGGAGATCCGAACTGCCAGCTGCTAATCTATGATTCAGAATATCAATGGACTGAATCCCAAACATCAGCATTCCATGCATTTCAAAGATAACATCTGTTTTAATTATAGCAAAGCACGCTACCGGAAGCCTTTAACAAAATAATATAAAATCAGAATAATTTATTTAGATTGTCATAGCTTAAGTAATCTACTGATGAAGGGTTTTCTGTCTTCTATTTTATATTGTATTGTATAATATGTATTTTTCTCCTGAATATTTAAAACTGACAGTATTTAAAATACATTTCTACTATGTATACATATGTATACAGAACTCATAGTTAATTATTACATTAATCCAGGGGTGTCAAACTGCTGGCCCACGGGCCGGATGCATCATAGCGAAACCGCGCCCATCCCATTGCTAGCAATGGCAAAAAAGTCACGATACATTGCAACACGTCACGTGACGTTGCGAGTTTGATACCCCTGCATTAATCCATTCTAAAATCTGCCAATAGAAGTATCTCTAATTTCTTGCTATGGATGAAAGAAATTATATCTCCCTCAATTCACCAAACCACATACATTCTGCAAAGGTAAAACTTGTTTATCTTCTAAACATTATTTATTTATTTATTTTATTTATTTTTAAGACTTATATGCCGCCCTTCTCCCCACGGGACTCAGGGCGGCTCACAGCATATTAAAACAACATAGTACATTTCCCCAATAAAAGCCAATTAAAAACCAAATATTTGTAGCTGTGTCTCTTATTAAAATCATTAAAAATTATCCCTATTTAAAATTCACCCTAGGTCAG